CCCATCTGAAAATGCACATGAGGACTCACACAGGTGAGTAACACATTTGTGCAGCACTTTAACATGAAGGAGTAGACGACAGGTCACGCAGATGAAACGACGCATTCTCTTAAAACCTGAAGCAAAAGATTTTGTCATGTTTGAAGTTTTCAGATTATTATTCTTGTGTGTTTATGTCAATGATGCACAGTACATGGGAGAAACCACACCAACGTTTGACAAACAGGTGGGATTTTCTTTTTTAAGTTGGTCCTGCAGTGTTGTTCTTAAACCAGAATAAATGAATGTTTGTGTTGTGAATGAGGTCAACCTCCAAAATCCCAAGTGTGAATAATCATTGTATGTGTTGTGCCTGCAGTTATTTTGTGTTTTTGTCAAATAGTTTGTCTGTCATTTTACTGGAAACTGCTTGTGTTTGAAGAGAAAATGCCAGTCTTTCAAATTCAAGTTCCCAGAGTTCTGCACACCGAGTTGTGCTTCTCATCATAGTCGGCCAGTCAATTTTAATTATATTAAATGTTTTTCTTGATATTTTTCCATGGTCATCCTATCATTTGAATTAGTTGTAGATAAAACAGGTGAGAAAGACTGACCTCTACCGACAGATTGAAGGTTTTAATTATTTCACAGCTCTGGTAGATAGATAGATAAAGGAGTTTGACAAAAACGATTGATGAAAGTTATCATTTGATTACTCTGTTGTTGTTTGTTTGTTTTTTTTTTCCAAAATTAAAACTTAAGTGAAAACGAGAACTCGTTTTTAATCTTACAACGTCTGGTTATTAAAGAAAGTCGGTTCATGTGTCTTTGGAAAAGCCGGAACTTTATAATCTGACACACCGGAAGTTTACGTCTTAGCTTTAGCTTCGCGTTCAACCAGAGAGCGGTTAAACCACCGTTGGTCGTGTTTCCTAAAAGAATCATCTTTCGACGAAGCAGCGATGTCTTCAGGACGGTTTAGAGATTTTATCAACGAACGATTAAGGAAATATTCACAGCTTTTCAGATGAACCGTCCTTCAGAAGGATCTCAAATCAGAAATTCCATGTAGCTCTAAGTAACTTCAAGGACTTGATAAAGAACGTGGTGACTCTACGTTCTTATAGTTGTGGTCCCTGTTTATTTTTACTTTAATGTGTTTTATATCGTTGTTTCTGATTGGCTGCTACCTTGGCTCAGAGAGTTTTAATTTGACGGTTACTTCCTTTGTTAGATGAAGGTAAATAAAGAATTAATGGCCTGTCCCTCTGTTGACCGTTTTCTCGTGTCTGTTGTTTAAATAAAGTTTAAATGTTCGTTAAGCCACGTGCAGGAGTGGGTCGTTACGGGAATAATGATGAAAGAGTCACGTGAGTTCATTCACAGACAGTGTGCGATTTAAGCTTCAGTTCTGAGCAAATACAAGGGTCGAATAGTCAAATCTTCGGGACCAATTTAATATATATTTATATATATTTCATATCCGGTGTTGATGTGAAAACGGTGACTTTTAGAGCGGACAGAGAAAATAGGAAGTTCCTGTTCCATTTAAACACCCCGACGGAGCTGCTGTTTTTAAAGAGATGTGACGTATGTTCGGCCCAAAGTTCACAGAGGTCAACTCCCATAAGTCTTAGGTTGTGTCTTCAACTGTGGTTAAAAAAAAGAAAAGACATTGTATCGAAAGAAAGGTCGGAACCTAATGATGTGACACACACAGGAAGTGTGCGTCGTGATATTATCTCAGTCTCCCGTGACTGTAAAAGCACTTAGTAGAAGAAGAGAAAATCTTTCGACGAAGCAGCGATGTCTTCAGGACGGTTTAGAGAATTTATCAACGAACGAGTAACCGCTGCTGCTGAGGAAATATTCACAGCTTTTGAAAAAACTATCAGCAACTACGAGGAAGAGGTGGATCGGTACAGAACCATGCTGGACATCGTTTGTAAACCGGAAACAGAGCTGCACCCAATAGGTCTGTAAAACAAGGATGGTGTAGAAAATGTAACCAAACCGATGTGTCTCGTGTTCGTCACGGTTACGCGACTTCCCCCCAGGAACGCCCTTCGTCAGACCAATGAGAACAACGGCCGTCATGCAGTAAAACCGCACACTTTAGACTTGGAGAACCGGTTTGTTTTTTTGTCTTTTCGGCCCCATGCTCCTCTCGGCTAAACCACTAGAGGGACCTACAGACTTTACTAGGATCGTGTTTAGCTTATTTGTCCTCGTCATTTTCACCCTTCTGTTTGTGTCAGCAGTCCGTCCCTGCTGCTGTGAAGCTGAAGCTCAGACTTCACCATTCAACCTGACAACCTGTTTCCGTTAAATTCCCAGATTAGGTCAGGGTGTAACAATGCACTCAACTCACGATACGGTATGATTTGAGGTTTCTTTTTTTGTTCACAACACGATTCACAGATAATATGTGACCAAATCCACTGATCTCCTCTCTTTGTCACAACTGAGTCAAATCCCATCATCCACTGACATCAAATCAGCCTCATTGGTTCATTGCTCTCTTGTCCTCGTCTTCTAACTCTCCAATTTTAACGTTCAGTTTTTTTCACACTCTGCTCTGTGACACTGATGGGCCAGATACTCTACCCTACGACACGTCTCCAGAGCCAATCAGAGCAGAGACAGACTATAAAAAGTAGGACAACCCTGGTCAACCAGGACAGGTGGACGCCCCGACGTTCATGTCCTGTTTCCAACACGAAGCAGCAAAGAAAAAGTGTCTGGAACTTTTTTTTACACCTTTTTAATTGTTGTCTCTCCAGATGTCCCACTCCAGTGTGGACACAAAAAGGTTCTCGATGATCCAGGACCATGCAGACCAGGGTCCTCACATAATGGAGAGAACAATGGGGAGAACATCTGCATCAGTCAAGATGGAGCAGAAGTTGTTCTGAAGCAGGAAGATGATGAATTCACATCCTGTCCAGAAAGTCAGGAAGTTGGTCCCATGGAGTCAGAACTGGAACAAGACCAACAGTTCCAGTGTCAGAGTCCTCCTGCAGTTCTCCTGAGCAAAGACCAGGATGGAAGTGAAGATGGAGAAAGAACCATGGTCCAGGTTGAAGAAGACACAGATCTTCTACAGGGACAGACGGAGGACACAGGACAATCAAAAATCCAGTTCCACGGGACAGGTGTGTACAGCTCCAGTACTCTATATCAGTACTACAAGTGTTTTAGTACTACTAATAAGTATTGTTGTAAAAGTCTTTCCCAGTTTGTCTGTTAACCCCTGACAGTTAGATTTGATATCTGACAAATGGAGTCCAGTCATGTCTGAATTTGACTGTGGTCTTTTTCCTTAAAACACTTTCACAGTTTTAATCCAACTCTTCTGCCTCCTTACCTTTTCAGAGCTCCCACCACTTCACGTCTTTAAGGAGGAACATCTGTCTGATCATCATCTCTGCATGAAGACAAGTGACCACAGTCTGGACCAATGTGGATCAGAGTCAACCAAAACTGAAGAAGACCATCAGGAAGTCAGCATCAGTCAGGAGAGAGAGCAGTTTGTACTGAAGCAGAAAGATCATCATTCCATATTAACTGGAGGGAAAGGAGGAAGTGATGACATGGAAGCAGAAGAAGACTCTGACCATCAGTCCCTCTCTGCTGCAGCTCAAGGTCAAGGTCAAGGTCAGACACCAACAGTCAGTCAGACAACAGATGACAACAACACTAGTCCAACTGAATGGGTGTCAAACAGTGACCCCAACACTCCCCCTGGTAAAAAGACCTTTAGATGTGACACTTGTGGAAAATATTTCCTCAGGAAGTCTCATTTACAAAGGCACATGAGAGCTCACACGGGTGAGAAACTCTACTCATGTCAGGTCTGCGGTAAGAGATTTAGTCAAATTTCAAATTTAAATCTACACATGA